GGACGTGTCAGCAATTCTACGACATAGAATGCCATTACAGGCCTAGAGAAACTGGAAAATATATTCTGGTCCCTATTGATTGCTTGCTGCAAACGCTAGCCTTAAGTAATCGATGTTACAGAACTGCGAGGTCAAGGCGGAAGGAGATGAAGATTTAAAACACTCGGTTGGAGTGATGCAGGTTAGGGTTCCGATGAATCTTTTAGGTTGCAGTCAGTCATATTGATTGTTTACATGCCACTATACAAATTAATAACTAACCTGTTGTCCTCGGACGTAAATGGATTCTTTGAAACGACTTGAGGGACAATGATGTTGTATTCTGGATTCATCTGTCTGGGGCTTTTGGTTCATAGCAATGCACCAAAAGCCTTCCTTTGAACTGCGGGGAATTTGTTAATCAGCTGAACTACCGTCATCTTTCCTCCTATGCATGGCACATGTCCGTCCCACCTCACCCCCTTCATTTGATATCCCTAGCAGTTTTGTGTAGAGTAAGAATTTATCTACACGGTGTGCAGTTGTCTACAGCCCTAATGCACAGTATAAATATTAGTTTATATCTGAACTTGACGTCAATGATTGTTCTATCGCTGGAGTCATTGTCGTGCTACAGAAACTGTCCGGTTTGGATTGCGCGTGGCGTCTCAGGCAGCTGCACATTGTGCAATTAAATTACGGGCGTTTAATGATGCTGAGTGGCTACTCTCAGTCATTACTCGGGCCCCCGTGTTTCGCTTGCAGCCCAGATGTGGTGGTAGGCAGAGAAACAGTGGATCTTTCGGGATTAGAATTGCGGATAGTCGCTTATTCAGGCAATATAATGACGGAAATGTCTCGATTCACGAAGTAACTGTTAGTAAAAAAACCTCTCAGGTTTGTAGAAATGAAAACAAAGCGGTGTAAATATGGCGATTCTATCCGGAAGATTCGCGGATCATGGATTATTCAGCTCTTCGCTAGTTCGTCGTGACCGGCCCTGGATTTCGCCGAGCCTCTTATTACTTTCCCTCTGATTAAATATTGTTTTGAGAATTCAGGTTCTTACGGCGATGAGTATAACAACGGCTTGCGCCGTGTAGTCTGGTAAATACTGACTGACGTTTTCCGTAATCAGAACGATGATAATGGAGTCCTCTGAAACGTCTTTTAGTATTTACCAGACTACACGGTGCAACATTCCAGAAGACAGCCATCTTCAATTAACGTACGTGCGAATAGAACGTGTTCCTGATTAGCACCAGAGCTCAGAAATTCGGACCGAGGCCGACTCATTTTCTGACGTAAGCAAATTGCGTGGGAGGGCACAGTTTGTTGCATGGATACCAACGGAGTAAACGGGGCAAATTTTGGAGTTGGAAACAGTCGTGTGACGGAGTGAGAGGGAAATTGTAGATCGAAATCTACTCCCACCCGTTCAACTTCACAGTCCCATACCCCGGACGATTCTACCTACGCCGTCTCCCTGTTACAGTGCCACGATTGACGAGACGCAACACACCCACACACCGGTTGGTTTTGTAGTGTGCCAGAAAAGTAAGCTTTATGTCTTGTGCAATTAAAATGCTTTCAACCTGAAAAATCTTAAACAGTGGATATTTTATACCTCGCACTAACTGCATGGAGCAGTTCCCTTCTTGAGAAGGAAATAGTGATTGAGTTAATCAAGGGATTCCCCGCCTTTTACAGAACCCTAAGTTTCATTGTTGTTTTCACAACAGTACGCCTATGGTCCCTATCTTAAGCCAGATGAATTTTTCGACAATGTCATTCCACATTTCTTTGTCCATAGTTTACGTGTTTTTTTTAAAAAAATTTAAAACCGCAGTCCTTCGGCTTTCAATTGGGTGGAAAAAGACCTTACTCCTTAGAATTAGTCCAAAGAACAAGGTTGAGACTAGCCCACACTAGGATGGGTGTGCACAAGAAATGAACAGAATTCTGTTGGCGAAGCCACTTGGAAAATATCCATTTGGAAGACTAAGAAGTAGACGTGAGGGTAATCTTAAAATGGATTACAGGGAAATAGGTTGGGGGTATCGGAGGTGGATGTAACTGGATCAGAATTGTGTCTAATGAAGATTTGGTTTTGACGATGATCAGACTTGCGGTTCTGCAATACTACAATATTAGTTCCTCCAGTGTCACATTCTTTGAGTCTGGTTCCTTCAAATTAACGGCTTCAGTTCAATCCCCAACGAAAGTATGAAGCGCTTGTTACTGGTATGGGATGCTGGTGTGCAGTCTAACCCTTCTATGAATGAGCAAAGACTGAATGAACTTGCGCGATCAATGACCGCCTACCCTAACTTACTGGGCGAGTAGAACCCTTGTCCAAAATGTTGGATGCAAATCATTGTAGGTTAGGAGCACACGTTGGACTCCGTTCCTTGCGTGTTGGATTTCTAAAATCAATATAGCATGTATGCGGGGATACTGAACAGCGCAGATTCTCTCGTATTGGCCATCATATTAGTTTCAAGCATGCGCCTTGACTGACGTCCAAACTGCGTGTGTATTGTCAATTGATATCTTAGATTACTGTGCTCTTGACGCTTTCCGTTTGGTACCTTAAATGTCTTCGTTTCAGCCACATTGTTCCCCACGGCGGAATACTCCGGATGATTTTTGCGTGGTTATTTAGACAAATATTATCGCTGTAGTTTGTGTCAATTAATTACTTAATTACTTATTTAATACTACTGGCACCATATTAAATAATCTGCCTTTCTTGGAAAGTACGCTGTGATACTAGAATATTTCAGATGGATCTTTGGTTTTATGTATTGGATACTTAATATTTTCAACTAATTTTATTGTTAAAAATAAGTCAAATGTTTTAATTATTTACTAGTAATTATCACGAAGGAAACTTATTTTGTCCCGTCATCTATGTACATTTTTCACAAATTTAAAGTAATTCCATTTATATTTTACGCTGATATTAATTAAACTGAAAGTACATAAATCTGATTTAATATGCTGGTTTATTGTTAACACTGTAAATGTTACGTCACGTTCGCCCCTTGGATTTATTGAGCTACACCGCCATTACCAAGGAGGACTCACTACAGCGTTCATGCTTGCTGCTGTAACTTCGCTAAGGCAGAACTTTTAATCGGAAATTTGGCATTACAAACTTCTGGAATAGAACTTTGAAAGATATTTTGAGAGTTTCTGGGTGAATTGCTCATTGCGCCTAACAAGTACTGGATGTAAAGTTTATATAAATCACACTCAAGGAATTTGTTTTTAGTGTATTTCTTCTGTCGGCTTCTCAACCAAGTTGGGCCAGATCTATGAGACTTATTTATAATTCTGAAAATTGTCTCTCGCATTTCATAGATACTTTGAGCTTCGTTTCGTTTCATACTTCTGAACCACTTGTAATAATATGATGTCCATTCTTCTGACGTGCTGACGGGCTTTCTTGAAGTCTATACTGGACTTCAAGAAAGCCCGTGATTCAATTAGGGTGGAAGTATTATGTAGCATTCTAATTGATTTCGAAATACACTGAACCTATTTAGGCGAATTAAAGTCTGTTTAAATTAAACCTATAGCAGAGTCCAAACATTTATCCCGTGCATTTCCCATTCAGAATGGTCTGAAACAGTGCCATAATACCATAATAATAGTTACACGTTTAACTACAAATATCAAGTAGATGGAATGCTGTTTACCTTTTATGTGCCTACGTTTCTTGTTACATTTTCTGTGACTCTTTCAGAAATCGCATCACTCTATTGTGGATTAAGTACTGAATCTCTCAAGTTACTATCTTACTTGATAATGATGTGAACCGGTATAAGTTTTGGTACGCATTGCAAGATAAACCTGTGTGTAATTTATTCTTTATCGGCGGAATTGAAGTTCTAAAGTTTAATGGATGCCGTCTACGATTTGAACCTTTATCCAGCCACATAAAATGGACGAACGTGGGAAGATTGTGCTCAACTGGCCTGATAGTTACCATGGCAACCAAACCATTTACCCTTCACGGACACGCATGCGTATTTCTCGTCTCATTATGCTCCAGTCTTGGCGGGTAAGATGTTATTATAATTACAGTAGTGCCAGTCTTTGGGTTACGTCGCATAATATGGTAATTATATAAATCGATTTTCGAAATGACTGTTGAATTCAACTCCACGCTCAATGTTCGGTAAGGTAAGGACATTTATGGGTTAAAAGTCGGGTATAGCTGTGATAGTATAGGTATAGGTTGAAGCCTTTGTAATTAATTTAATCGTGTATAGAATTTAACTTCGTAATAACAAAATGCTAATTAATTTCGCTCGTCTCGATTAACTTTATTTTAGACCGAAGCATCCAACTCTTGCATTAATCAGTAATGCGTTTCGGAGAAAGATGTGAAGTAGACAAGGTATTATTGAATAACGTTGTTACGTAACGTCAGTAATGATGTCTGCCTCCTGTCAGTATGCATGAAATCTCTCTCACTTCATCACTGGTTTTGGTGCAAATATATTCCAGCCGTCAGAATGAAATTCTAGGTTCATACGGCGGTGAAGATGTCGATGTTGGTCTTCTGGGTAGTAACGCCTTGTGCAATTATAAGAACAAGGCAATATGTTACTCTAAAACGTTGGCATGTACCTACTAGCCTACACGGCATCTGAACGCAGAAGATCGACATCAATATTTTACTCTCGTGAGCAGGCTTTCAGGTGAAAGCAGTTCTACTATGAGAATGTGACTTACTCTAAGATGAAAGTTAAATATAGATACCAACCGCTTTAATAGTTAGTAACTCTGCAAGTACTGCCTCTATATTCAGGGCTATACTGAAGATGGAAGCAATGTGTTCCTCAGATCTGTTGGTACCTACCTACAAATTCACACGCCGTTATAATCCAGAGAACCAACATCGATATCTTCATCGCCATGACAACGTCAGATATCAGAAACTAAAATTTTTGTTCTGATGTTTTCATAGAGGGAACGGAAACTCTGACTTCTCTTTTGTGTGATTCCAGGATGTCTGTTCAGCGGCAGTGTATGCAACGATCGTTTGGAGTGGTGCTATGATGGTGAGTAGTTATACACTCTCTCGACTGAATTCTATAACGATTTGATAGTTTTAATTAATAATTATGTGCCTTTCCTTTGCGGACTCTTGGGATTTGTTTCACACGTTGCCTGCTGTTGGGGGTTAGACTGACCCGCCTCACGGTTGCGATGGAGAAGTTACCGACTTGGGAAAGGGATCACATTGTAATTTATTATATATCGTCAGATTTCGATTCACATGGTCTGGTACTTTACCTAGTCGATACCTAAGTTCTAGTACTTACCCACATCCTATAACAGATAAAAGACGATTGTAGCTCGCAAAAAGCACACATTTGCACTCTTGTTACTTGTCACACTCCAGAGTTACAATGTTTTTTTGAAACAGCGATGAGAGAAAGTACTCACTAGAGTTTCCGTTACCTCTGTAGTATTGAGAATTGGTTATCTAAATTTTCATTTCCGAATGAGCGGTTTTAAGAATAAACATTCTGAACTGGTCCTCGAGTAACATGGCCAGTTAACTAAACTAGAAACTAACACCACAAAGCTGATTCTGTCTTGAGACTTTGATGATAGCTCGCCTTGTTAATAAATTCTCTACTTCTTGTGAGAATCGAATAAGCATTATCGTGTTCACAAGAACCGACAAGGGGTGGTCATCCTGGTTAAGGGTTGGTTATGGGAACAACAACGCCTCACCGTAAAATCGAGTATTGTACGAAACGTTACGCAAGGACTCGGATATTTGTACCTGATTCAAACATTTCGAACCGGGTAGGTTTTGTGCTTAGGTTCGTTTGGAATTATATATAACTGAGCAGTATACCAGTAATGAAAGCCTGTAGGCAGAAATAAACCAATGTTTATAACAAATTTGAGGTTTCCACTTTGACGGTGGTCGTGTGGGTTGTTGCATCGTGAATTTTTTTAGCTAATTAGGCCAGTTCACGTTGTCTGATACTTTCCTAACCCCACATAAATTACCCTCTTCCAAAAACTTCTCACTTCAGTATTGAAACTGAGTGCAGAACATTCTTCCAAAATGTTAGCACATGGCCAAAATACTATACGGTGTATCTCATGTAATTCACTGGTTTTCTCTCCTCTACTTTTTTTATTATTATTTTTCTATTTATATTTTTTTACAGATTTCGCTTTCGGACGCTGCCTGCAGATGTACTCGAGCTCCGGAAACGAAGAAAAATACAGGTAAGTGTTTAGCATAAGGAGAACAAAAATAGGCCACTCTCTACAAGCTGTTGCTTCTTAATAATAATGGTTCAGATGCTATCCCCAGTAAACACTCACTTTATTAGTTTCGAATGTATTTCTTGCTACTGTGTAATGGTCTTCAGGGACAAGGTTTGACCTGGGCTCATTGACACGTTATGTAGCGTGGTGTGAACGTTATGATTACGATGGTTGTCTTAACAATAACACTATTAATAATGATAATTTTAACGCTAACCAATGCACGAGTGTCATTTAACAACAATCTTCAGTCAGGACACGTCAGAAGAATGCTTGGCTTGCAGAGAAATTAAAGCATACACGAAATATAAAGTTACGTAATCTAAGCTGAAATGTATAGATTTGTACAACACACAATTTTAGTCAGAAACCAGAAGATAAGAGCTGGAACTTCAAGCTATAAATGGAAAATAATATTAAAATCGACGCTTAAATAGGGCGTGAGGGTGTGAACGCGATGCAGTGACTCAAGACGTTATCCGGTGGCGGTCCCGTGTGCACATGGTGATGAACCTTGACCTCTATAAAAGACGAAGAATTTCTTGACCAGATGAGCGACTGTATAAGCTTATCAAGAAGGACTCTTCCCCACGGAGTGAGTTACTAAATTATGTAGTGCGTTAAAGAATGCATTATTGTTCGCAATGGAAGTGTGAACTGTTTTCATGGACGGCTTAATATTCAGATATTATTCACACCTCTAGTAGTTTCATCCTTCAATGAGCTTCATCCAACATCGATCACTCACTTTTGTAGCCGTAAATTGCGAAAACAAAGGTAGGAAATAGAAGTATTTTGTTGATCATCGAGCACTGAAACATGTCTGTTTCAGCTTACTGTACCTTTGATTTGATGTACTACCTTTTCCTCAGGTATGACCTGAAGCGCCATGCTCTACACGTTCTGGAACGGGAAATGCAACGTCTGTTCACACTGGGATATCGATGGAGTCACACGTACACACAGTGCATTCTTCAGGGCGTCCTCCACGCCATCCGATATGGGTGAGTTATAATATGTACCATAAAACGAAATACGCCTAAAGCGAATTTCAATAGTAGTGGATTTCAGACCATTGCAGATCACGAAGTTCGAGCTTTATTATTGAAGTGGCAGCTTTATAAAGAAGAGCTGAACTGTACAACGTTAATTCCTTACTTATATTTATTGACTTACAGATTCATATTAGAGACTATATTTTAATTATGATGTTATCTTACTCTTAACAATAATTGTTATAAAACTTATATTTAGCTAAGTCCTTAGTTTCATGTTACATATAATTAACTAACTAATGTTGATAAAAGACTGTCGGGTTACAAACCACGTCAGGTGGCTGAATGGTGAATAACCCGAGAGCCTTTCATCAGCTTCAGTCGCCTCGAAAGCTTCACTTTATACAACTAACTAATGCTATAACTGTGGACGATTGTTGACCTCATAAATAGATAAAAAGTATCACGCAAAGAGAGGTTCATACCCACGCGTTTTTTATTTAAAACACCCATGCGGTTTAAAATAGTCAAAATTACTTAAACATTTTATAAATTGTTTTAGTTGTGAATTAATATGGCACTTTCCGTTTGTTTCTTAATTACCCCATTAACAGTCATTGTCTTTGGATAGCATTAAAACGTCGATGGTTTCAAACATTGTACACTGGTTGTGAAAATTACAACTAGGCTCTAATAAAGATTAAAATCTTCTCCCAAGACAGAAGTAAGGAATTAAAGAATCTGTCCAGTAGAGAAAATATTACGAACGTATTATTTATGTAAAATATTGTAAAATGTCTGTAGTAATAACATTGTATTAATTAGATCCAGCAACGTTAATGCTTTCGTATTACACATACTAAGATAAATAAACATATGTCAAATTAAAATTTTAAGATCGAGGTTTTCGTTTATTATTCTATCTTCAAGAAAGGAAATGTCGTCCTCACTAACGTTCCAAGTTTCTAGGTAACCCAGTATTTTCAAATTTGCACAACTATGTAATAGTATGTCAATAGTCCTCCTAGTTAGCTGTCTATCATTTAGTTCTGAGACGTGTAAGATTTCCAGGTTTCTGAGTCCCCCTAACTGCACAGCCTCAATAAAAATATCGTCACTCAAGATTTTTATCCCTGCGCAATAAAAATTTGTTAAATTTGCATAATATCGCAAGTGTTTATTGTACATAGTAACATCCGAGGGATTATGATAAATTCTTAAGTTTGTCACACTTCCAAAGTGAGGTGTTGCAGGGTGGAACACTTTATTTTCAGGTACCGGCACGTATATGCAACTTTCAGTAATTAGATTCTTCACGTTAGAACACTTCATTATAATGTCACAAATATTCACATTTTCTACATTAATTAAGATTAGTTTGTCTAGTCTGTATCCAACACCATTAAAGACGGCTTGCAGATTACACATTTCATAATCACTGTGTTCAATCTTTAGTTTGACTAGTCTAGTCAGTACAGTCAAATTTGACAGGTCCAAGTTAACTCTAATCAGTCTTACACTTGTTACATTGGGGCATTTCTCTGTTAGAATTGTTACAGTCTTAATTAGACCAGAATAGTGGGTTATTTTCTTGAGATTTTCTGTTACAAGATCATCAAGAATGTGTATGTGGTTTTCTGCAACATCGATATTTCTAATTCCCGACAAATCTGTGAGCAGCACCTGATATAATTGAGTACTAATGGACGTTTCACTTATGTTTACGTAACTTAATTTCGTGAGTTTCTGTAGGTAAGGTACAGAAAGATCAGTAACACCCTCTGAGTAAGCAATTCTAATTCTTGAGAGATTATGGCAGTGCAATCCCAGTTGTTTTACCACTTGGTCGGAGCAATGACAAATATATTCAAATATCATCAGTTTTTTTAGATGATGGATGTTACTTGCCAATATAGCCGAGTTATCAATATTGCTTTTCATATTGAAAACCAGAACAGTTAAATTAAGGAGGTAATCAAAATTTTCGATCACAAGCCTCTGTGGAATACTGGACCATGTACATGGCGTAAAATAGTGTCTAATGGAAGGGCACAAAACAGACCTAACCATGTCTCTACACACAGTTTCATACTGTTTGTCATAAGTTGAACAACCACTTTCCCTAAAGTTGTCGTCACATTTGGAGATAGTATCGATAACCTTCCTGAAAACTTCACAACTGATGTCTCTGAAAATTTGTACCGGCAGGGATGTTAAGAGTTCAGAATACATTTCGGATTCGCGCTGCATGTTATAAATCTCTTCAAGATAATCCTCAAGTCCAGTTATTGCTGCTTTATACAGTTTCTCGATGCGTGTCTTACTTCTTTCTTTCAGCAGGTCGCTAATTTCTTTTATCAGCTTTTGCCTCATAGTCGGAGGCTGTTTTATTGGCGGCATGTTGGTATTTGTGACCTGAAAATAAATGTTAATGAGCAATTTTATGTGTATGTGTTTGAACTGGGCCCGTTAACAGATTTCTTTCTGTCACTCTCTTTCCAATTTACATAACAAATTCCCGTGAATATTTGTAATATATATAAAAATACGGCTGATTCGTTAAATTGTTCAGTGTTTGTGAGATATGAGTTATCTGTTATTTGTTACAAAAGGAGGTCTTCAACAGCCTATCCAGTGAGTGCTGTATGATTCTGTGCGTACCCCGCTAACAAAACGTTATGGATGTGCAATAAATTCGTAACTTTTATGGAACCCGAGGTTTATTGCCGTGTTCGCAAGAGCCCCGCCACTGGTCTTTATCCAGAGCCAGATGAATCCAGTTCATGTCACCCCATCCTATTTCTCCAAGATTAATTTTAATATTATCCTCCCACCTATGTCTAATTCATCCTTGTGGTCTATTTCTTTTTGGGTGCCCACCAAAATTCTGTATGCATTTATATTCTCTACCATTTGGGCTACATGCCCTGTCGATATCATCCTTTTTTGACTTGATGAATCTAATTATATTTGGCCAGGGCTACAACTTATGAAGCTCCTCGTTATGCAACTTTCTCCGGCCTCCTAGTATTCCACTCCACTTGGGTCCAAATACACACGCTGTGTAACATTTCGTAACTAGCTATTTTACTGTGAGGAGTTATCCCCACACCCAGCCTCTACGCTGGAGGACAGTTCCTTGTCGTCTATCCCCGACTGCTTATTCAATATATTCCCAACCACCCTCCATATCTGGCGGCGGTCTCCTCCACTGCAACCTGAGTACCCACGTGGAATTTACACACAGACAGTGTATGACAAAATATAACGCAGTTTGTGGTAAAATTTTCTATACAGTAATAGAGGTTTAGATGAAAGAACAGTGAAAAGAACCAATTCTGTAACGCGCGTTATATTTAAAAGTAAATAACTTGAAATTTGAAAGTTAAGTTTTATATAATGGTATCTGCAAGCAGACGTTTTCTCTTATGTGCCCACGAAAACGGACGAAACTTTATACTTCGGACTGTGATATTCACTTTTCGGTCTCTTACCAAGATTTCGAAGTAGCACAGAATCATTAGAACTTCAGCATTACATTATTGACGAAATCCAGAAATGGTATAATCGGATTCCAGCTACGAACGAAGAACTGGTGGTGAAATATTTTCCAAATGAGGAATCAGAATTTTATGGTCAAATTATCATGACATTCGCTTAAAACACAAAATGTCGGAATTTCCTTTGAACGATGGCCACAGAGGGCTTTCGAATAACATACCTAGATTTTCATTGTCAATGTTACACTGATAATTTTTTTTGCATGTTTCAATATTCCAAAAGTTCGTTATTAGAATTCCACTTAAATTAAAATACATTCTTAAGAAGCGTTCAATATTAAATTTCGCTCGATAACTCTAAAGGATTTAAACGTGGTGCACCAATGATTAATACCCATTTTTGTGATAATTGTAAATGTTTTTTAAGATAGAGAAATTAGCCACTTCCATGTTAAACGTCATTAATGTTAGTGATGGTATATCTAAAACGTAGTTACTGAAGGATATCCCATACGGACCTTCTTACCACACTTTGATGATGATCGTGTTCCGGTTCTCCACAGACTGACAGCCAACATTGCTCCCCCCGATTAGTGGTGCTGTCTAGCATGCGGTAATGCCAACAAATTTCCCTTCCAGACAGGGAAATTGTTGTCCCAGTTTTATAAATTAGTTTGTTTCTCTTGTGTTCATCGTTTGTATATGTGGCCTGTGTGCAGTCCTTGGAGTTTATATGGCTTGAATTATATACCAAAAAAATTTATGTGCGCATAATTATGGCTTAAATTCCGATTTCTTTTGCGTAACTTGTAACGTGTAAGTCGTGCACTTAATCTCGAACCCCACCAATGTAATCTATCACACACACTGTTCAGTACAAGAAAAGTAATAAATTTATTATTGTCTGTCACGTAATATATAACCCTGTTAATCATATATTGCTCTTAGTACACATAACCAAAATCTCCTTTATCTAAAACTGAGCTTGATGTCCCAGTTTTATGCGCGACTTAAAACATCAAAGAAAGATGAAATACAATTTTTATTCCGACATTTCTCTGTTCTACAAAACGTAAATTCCGTTTCTTGTAATCATCGCTCCCATTTATAATAATGTGTGCTCAAAATGGTTATGACTGTAGGGGCATATAAATTGGATTGGGAATAGTGTGTTCCTCCGGTAATTTCGGAATACCGGCATGGAGAACTGATGTCAGAATTAAGAATGGATTTATGCAAATGGATTGTGCTAACGTGGCTTGAATCGAATCCTAGAGGATTGCATGTTTTCACATCTAGTGGTGTTTTGATATCAGTCGCTTACAAATCATAAACACAGAAAGCTACGCTTCTTGAAGCAATATGATTTTAATTTAGTTTTGTGGATGTGTATTCGTGTTTTTAGTACTTGGTTATGTTTAGAAAATTATGTTATTATGAAGTTAGTTATACATTTTATCTATCTACGTATGTTAATGGCTTCTCTCGATATTTTTGTCAATAGATTACTTTAGACTGGGATATATTATAGCCATTAGATTGCCCAATCTAATCTAATTAATGCTTCGCAAATATGTAGACTAAATACACAGAATTATCTGCTGTAAAAGCTGCTGTTACGGAATCAGCCACACAATAATTTTATATAACTTTTCAGCAACACGTCAATTCATTTATGTGAACTATGTTTTGTGAACCTTCGGGTTCGTTGCCGTGTTCTCAAGTACTCGTCAATGGTCCCTATCCCAAGCCATATGAATCAAGTCCAACCAACCCATCCTCACTTCTCGAATTACGATCACAAAACATAGTTCACATAAATGAATTGACGTGCTGCTGAAAAGTTATATAAAATTATTGTGTGGCTGAGCGACTGTTGAGTCCATCGAGTACGAGAGAAGTTGCAGCTTAAGTAATAGTATTATTCCACAATTTGTGTCCGTATAGACCCTTCACTTTTAACTAGTTTGATAATTTCGTTAATTATAATCATCCCGTTGCAGACCTAAGGCAGCAAGCTAGAGACTTTTACGATAGTGAGGGCATTTAGAGTGAGTAGGGAAGATGTATTGGATTATGGAAATAAATTATGGTAACATAGTTGTAATCGGAGATTTAGAGAATCGCTTTCTTCATATTTAATGGTGTTGAACGTTTGCATTTTGATATGTCAGTAGCGCATGTTGAAGTAGAGCCTTGTGAAGTTTATGTTGGAGGGGTACGCTGGTTTGCAGGAGGCTACTGTGAACAATGAATTAATTATGTTGTTATGAGAATAATTATAACTTTCTGGCAATGTTTTGGCACTGCTGTTGTTATGGCTTACCAACTGTTGCTCTCTGAATTGGGATATATTACAGCCCTCGTAATTGCAAGCCGTTTCCATGTCATTTATTTTTGTTTTACTGTCGGTTCTTTCAGTTTCTCATAATATATAGCGTCTAGTCACAGGTTGATTCGAAGGATTTGGCCGTGTTTAAAGTAATGTGTTATTCTGGTGTATAAGAGTAGGGACTGAAGAAATACAAGAGTCAAGTTATTGCGAATTTTTATCGCATAAAATTCTTAAAATAAATGTTATTTTAAATGGTTGTCAGTTATAAACTAAGGAGTCTTTTGTTATTAAAATCAAACGGCTGACTCCGGGGAGTTTGGGGAACGAATAATCGCTGAACTAAGAAAATTCCCCTAATTTTATGAGAGGCGAAGGTCATTACTCTGTTGGCACTAGCCCGCCACTGAAAATTGCTGAGCCAGTTGAATCCAGACCACTCCCTCGTAATCCATTTCTTTATTACCCATATCAATACCTCCTTTCCACGTGTCGTCAGTCCCAGCAGAACCACTTAGTAGCATTGTGGTCGAGTATTTTTATAGCAAATCAGACTAAAGTCTTATTGGGGGAAGGGGGAATAACGTGTTTACGGTTATGATACTGAATTCAGTACGTAGATGTACCTAGTTCCGAGGCACAAAATCAGTGATGTTATGAAAATAATACCACATTCCATGTATTACACTTCTCCATCGTCATTCTATAAGCTTTATTTCCTTAATGTACCTCTCCAGATTACTTTTTGACAGTAATAATGGGTTTCATGACTTTCCGATCCACCTGAATCAGCGTTACGACATTCCGCTTGCCTGCTAAATGGTTAATAAACACTTATCAAGGAACCTTTATCAAATTTATTGTAATATGAGCCAAACAAAAATTAAAGAACATTTAATTACTACCACCAGAAAATATCAGTAAAACAACAGTCCTGAAGTCATCTTCCATTATTTTATTTTCAAATTCACACCACAATTGATACCTATATGAATGCTTTTTTACTGCTAAGCAATTTTCACAAAAAATTCTAAGATTCCAGTTCAGTATGCTTGTTATTTAACGGAACACTTAATGAATTCCAAGCTCTTGAGCAATTAATCATGCCACGTCTTACAATATTACGAGATCGACCTCACAAATGGATAAAACAGTTTCCTGATAAGGGTTCATTTAATTATTCGTTTTGTATTTAAACCATCCATGGGGTTTATAGCAGTCAAAATTAAGCACTTTACGCATTGTAGCCATTAATAACTGTCACATTTTAAAATTAGTGTATTCAAGCGCCTAGATTCCTATTTGTATTTCTTCACACCTTGTTAAAGAACAGTTGTCTTTGAACACAGTACACAGGTCAGCATAACGAAAACTAAGCTGTAATGCCACATTAAAATTTTCGCTTCTCGTAAAAGTTACTAATTAAAATAATCTGTCTAGTGGAGAACATACGAGACATTGTACGTATAAGGCACTGTAAAATACATATAGTAAACCATACGTGTACAAAATAATACTCGTGCAAAGCATATGTAGGAATGCCTATGAGTGAAATAATGTAGACTACCAACAAGATTATGTGTGTGTCAGTATCTGAAGATCCAATTTTTTCTTTTCTGTTTTATGTTTAAGTTGACGTATTTGTCGTTCATTAACTTTAGTCCAACATTCCAGGTACCCCAGGATTGTCAGGTTTTTACAGTGACGTATTAGTCGCTTAGCAGTCTTCACAGTCAAAGCCCCAAACCTGGTTTCTTCAACTCGAAATTCCTCGAGGTTTCCGAGTCCACCTAGCTTTATAGCTTTGTGTATTGAATGGTCATTAATGATTCTCGCTCCTTTGCTGTACAATTTTACCAGGTTTACGTAATGTATCAAATGTTCGAAGTGCACCTCATGCCCAACAGCCTCTGTCAAATTTAAAATCTGCGTACTTTTATAGTGAGGTGTTGCACGATCGAACACTGCATGTTTCCCTGATGGCTCGAATATGCACTCCTCAAGACTCAGAGACAACAGAGCAGAACAGTACTTTATAATGTGGGAAGTGTTTACTTTTAAAACATTATGCAGATGTAGTTCGCAAAGTTTAAGCCCCCTATCTTTCAGGAACATATTCAGATTTGACGTTTCATAGTTTCCACCTGTAATATCCAGCGATTTCAAGCTATTTAATGCTGACAGTTTTGAAACATCCTCATTAACTTCATACAGTATTATACTAGTTATGTTAGAGCATTTCTGTATTAGATTGTCCGTATTAATAATAGGCCCTCGATAATTTGTTACCGTGTGGAGACTCTCTGTTGCAATATTACCCAAAACGTTCTCATGTAGATCTCGACAATTAATATTTTCAATTTCCGGCAAGTTTATGAGTAGTAACTGATATAATTCACAAGAGATTGAAGTTTTCGACACATTTACGTATTGTAATTTCTTGAGTCTCAGTAGGTGGGATACGGAAACATTAGTAACAGCTCTCGAGTTGCTCAGACTGATAACCTTCAGCTCGCTGCAGTGCAACCCCAGTTCTTCCACAACTGTGTCTGAGCAATGAAACTTATATTTAAACGTCTCCAACTTTCTTAGGTGATGGATATTATTTGCCAATAGAGCCGAGTGGTCAATTTCCGTTTCAGTGTCGAAGATCAAACTAGATAAATTATTGAGACTATCCAGTGTTTCAATTACAAGTTTCTGTGCAAAACTGGACAACATTTGCGTTGTATCATAGTATGAAATGGATGGACACAACACAGATCTAACTATGTTTATGCATGCAGTGTTATACTGTTCATCATAAGCTGAAAAATCCCGTCGCTTTAAACTCTTATATTTTGAGTCATATTTGGCGATGGTATTAATAATATTCCTAAAAACTGCATAACTTATGTCTGCAGAAACTTGTATTGGAAGAGTTGTTAAAATTTCGTAGTACGAGTCGGCTTCTCTCTGCATGTTCTGAATCTGCTGAAGGTAAACCGGAAGTCCAATTCTTGCTGCTCGAGGTAGTTTCCGGATGCATGCCTTGCTTCTGGCTTTCACGATGTGGGCAAATTTGTGTACAAAGGATTCTGTTATAGTCATGGGCAGTTTCACTGGTGGCATGTTGATATCTGTGACCTAAACAAAATGAATTCAAGTGAGAAGACAGTACATTTGTTTAAACTGGAATAATGTACGGATTTCCCTCTATACACTCCGTTTCAGTTACAGTTTTAAGACAAATACCTCACTATACAGAGGTTATGTCACAGTAGCTTTGCCGTACACGAAGAGCACATAAAATGTACTTCGCACTACACACAAGTAGCCTGTGGAAGTGGCATGAATAAAACGGCAATTAACCGAAATCAAAGTCGTTCCAGATCCACCTTCTTTTATTTCGGGGGTTTAAACTAACTACGGCAGGCTGCATAATTTGGCAAGATGGCTGGCTGCGTTTCTATTATCAGGATAATATATGTATACATGGTTCTGAAATTAGCATCGTGGCTTCATTTCCATAATTAAGAACAAGACTTTCTATGTGCAGCCCAAAGCCTACTTTCTTATTACACAGTCTTTATCCTAAAAATCTTATACCCTGTTTTTATTGTGGTGCTTAGTTAATGTAAATGTATTCTCCAAAAACGAAATATATTTTGATTTGCGAGTTGGCTTGTCGCGTTTCATCTCAGTCGTAGGGTTGAATTTAAGTTAGAACTTCTGATGCTGGCAAGTATAAACAGATACAAATTATTACACGATATTTATATAATTTTCGAAAATGTTCTATGCATCATTTCAATACTTTGTATATAGTGCCCTAGAGGCACTCCAACACCACGAAACCCTACATCGGCCATGGAATTGTGCATTCTAGAAAATTAAAATGTACGAATCTGTTGAGGCATGTTTTATAAAGATCCTTCAGTTGGTTAGGAAGATTAAAAGGGACGTGAATACAGCTGGCGTGGTTTTCGATGGTAATTATGACAAACCCGCCGATTGTTCTACTCTGGAACTTCGTTTCAGGTGTCAGGCCTAAACGAATTAGGCATTTATGAAAGAAATATGATGCACACAGTTCAAGGTCAAATCGCCTGTCAGCCTGAAGGGCTTAGATGGGAAAGTAGTAAAATATGAACCGAGTTGTACTGCATGTTACTGTTAGAAGCAGACTTCTTTTACGTCGTAATTTGGAAATTAATCTGGCATGTGGTATCTTAAGATACATTCTCATTTGGATCCATGATATTGAATGAGATTAATATTTTAGGTTACGATATTCAATTTCTCGGACAGTTACCAAGGCTTTAACGAATGGAAAATACTTTAAATGTTATCGTATCCATGTCGTGGTTGTATCTGATGGTGAATACTTCAACACAGGAATATGAGAGATTAATTCAATATTACATTACCGACAGAAACCTAATTTCGTGTAAAGCGTAAATTGACGACTATGGCATGATAGTGACGTCAGTGTACTGTCAAATGTTACACAATTTGTCAAAATTATGTCAGTTCTGGCAAGTTTTTGCATATTTAAGTCACTTCGATAAACTCGTTGAAAAGGTAACTGAAATATGCAGGGATACGTTGTTGATAAGAAAAGTTCAAGATTACGTTTCGCCAGAAAGGAACTTAAACGTGGTACAGCAAAAGATTACTGCCCATTTTTGTGACAATTGTAGACGTAAATGGTTTTTTTAAGATAGAGAAATTAGCTACTTCCATGTTAAACCTTATTAATGTTAGTGATGGTATATCTAAAACGTAGTTACTGAAGGAAATCCCATACGGGCCTTCTTACCACACTTTGATGATGATCGTGTTCCGGTTCTCCACAGACTGACAGCCAACATTGCTCCCCCCGATTAGTGGTGCTGTCTAGCATGCGGTAATGCCAACAAATTTCCCTTCCAGACAGGGAAATTGTTGTCCCAGTTTTATAAATTAGTTTGTTTCTCTTGTGTTCATCGTTTGTATATGTGGCCTGTGTGCAGTCCTTGGAGTTTATATGGCTTGAATTATATACCAAAAAAATTTATGTGCGCATAATTATGGCTTAAATTCCGATTTCTTTTGCGTAACTTGTAACGTGTAAGTCGTGCACTTAATCTCGAACCCCACCAATGTAATCTATCACACACACTGTTCAGTACAAGAAAAGTAATAAATTTATTATTGTCTGTCACGTAATATATAACCCTGTTAATCATATATTGCTCTTAGTACACATAACCAAAATCTCCTTTATCTAAAACTGAGCTTGATGTCCCAGTTTTATGCGCGACTTAAAACATCAAAGAAAGATGAAATACAATTTTTATTCCGACATTTCTCTGTTCTACAAAACGTAAATTCCGTTTCTTGTAATCATCGCTCCCATTTATAATAATGTGTGCTCAAAATGGTTATGACTGTAGGGGCATATAAATTGGATTGGGAATAGTGTGTTCCTCCGGTAATTTCGGAATACCGGCATGGAGAACTGATGTCAGAATTAAGAATGGATTTATGCAAATGGATTGTGCTAACGTGGCTTGAATCGAATCCTAGAGGATTGCGATTTTTAACATTCAGTTGCGTGGGCGTTTGAATACTGATACCAGTCAGTCAGATCCATGTGATTCATACAAAAAGCTACGCATATTGAAGCAAGACCGTATGAATTTACTTTAGTGGATACTTTCAATTTCGCAGTTCGAGACCAATTTTTTTGCCGTATATGTTTGTGTGAAACGTATTAGAGCTATAAATTCGCGAGGAATGGGTTGGACTTTATAATAACCTGTATGTATGTTGTTCCTTTTTCAGATGTTCACTCCGTGGGAAATATTTCAGTCCATGTAATTCCACACAGTTTCTGAATTGCCATGTAAACTTTTTAAATTGCCAAATTATGTACAGTTGATGGGGGCCACACGCAAGAGCGAACACGTTTTTCTTAAGGTACTCTTCACGACTCTAATAAGTTGACTTTTAAGAGTGTCTGTACGCACACCATTCATTAATAATCATATTTTACGTGAGAAATTCTCATGACAATTATTACCGATTTAGAGCCTGAATGTATAATAATTTATTTTTATTTTATTTTCAACGTCGTTTGATTAATTATACATAAGACGTTACCGCATTTCTTGAACAAAAATGGCACGCATAATTTAGTTCCCTGTTCAATGTGCACTACGTTTGGCTCATATATCTAGAAGAAAACACTGGCTTGCTGTGTCCTGGCAGATAGAGTATTCTTCGCGTAAGAATATCTGGACTTAGGTGGCAGTTTAGATTTTAATAACAGACTCATTTCATGGATAGGAACTATGAATGCATCAATTTAAACTGCCTTGTTTTGATAAGGCTAGGCATTGTAAACTTGCGTACTGATAATTGAGAAACCTTTCTCATTGAAGAGCTCATTACATTTATTGAAACTGCAAACATTACAAAAGTCAAGTCAATTTCCGAATATAATTACTACTACTACTACGATTTAACCTTTTGTATGAACAACGAGAAATATATTATCAGTCAAATACCCTCTACTTTGTAGGTATGTGTGGAAGTTGGTTCCTCACTATGGGGAGAACACTCATCGAGGATATTTGAGATCAGAATCTTGTAGATTTTGCACTTGTCACTACATTTCGAATCAGTCGTTAAAGTGATGAGATATGGCATACCGTGTTATGTCTAAAGGAAAGGACGCATGAGACTATATACGTACCTAAATTACACAATATACCAAGAATGCAAGGCGTAGTTTATTTCTAAGCATTTTTATTAAAGTGTTTGGAATATCAAGCAGTACAAACCGTTTACATATCTAAAACGTAATTAATTAGATTGAGTTTCAACCTTTTATGCTTACCAGGAATATATATATAATGTATATAGTTACGAAATTTATGTTCATTTCAACCAGTTTTGTGTTTAGTTACACGTCACATTTTAATTTTTGCATATTATACTCTTGGACGATTAATTATGCCACGTCTTACAAAATTAATAGATAAACGTAATAAATGGATATAAAACAACCAAGTGCTCTGATAAGCGTGACTTAAAATTGTACGTTTCTTTTATTTTAACTATCTCAAAAATTAAAATTGTTAAATCACTTCTTTACAAAATGTTATTACTATGAATAACTGTATCAGTTTAAAAATTACACATTGATTTGTAATATCAGAGTTATATTCATATTTTAATAACCTAAATAAGTATAAAATCCACTTGCATAATAAAAACTAAGCTGTATCACAAATTAAATTTGCGCTTCAGATGAAAGTCACAAATCGAAAGATACTTCACAGTAAAATGTGTATTAACATATATGTATAAATAACCCTCCTGAGCTTATTTAAAATACTTTAAAAGAAATGTCTGTATATGTTTGATTACAGTATTTGTATATCGAGGTTTCGCGTCCTCACTGTAATATTAATGTTCGAAATAAGCTCTGGATTAAGACCACTCCAACGTGACAAATATCCCAACGTAAACAGTTGGTGACAATTACTTATCAGCAGCTCAACAGTTCTCATAGTCAAATCCCCAGCATTAACAACGAGAAAGTTAGCAATGTTTTTGAGTCCGCCTGTACGTATAGTTTCACTCACAAAACTATCATCTATTTCTTTCACTTTATCGCACTGTAACGTATCCAAATTGATGTAATTTCTCAAGTGTTGCAGAAATACTTCATTTTCGGATGTTTCTAATATTCTTAAAAATTTTACACTCTTAAAATGAGGATTTCCAGGATCCAGGGTATTTTGGTCTGATGAAAATGTGCTCCTTTCAACACCTAGATTTTCCAAGCAAGGACAAAACGTTATGATGTGGGCAATGTTTAGATTTTTAATATTATGCAGCATGAGTTCGAAAAGTCTGTGACCCATACCTTGAAAGGCAGCGTTAAGATTAGATGTACAATAGTCGCCGTTACTCACGCGCAGTATTGTCAGACGAGTTAATGCAGTCATGTTCGAAACATCTGCGGTAATATGATGCATTACTAGAACCGTGATGTTGGGGCATTTCTCTACAATAGTGTCGATACTTGTTTTATACCCAGTGACTATCTTTATCCTTGAGAGATTTTCTGCTGAAATGTTACCTAAAGTGTCATGATTCCGACTTAAGTAGTGGACATTTTCAATGTTCTGCGATTCTGAAAGTAGCATTCCATATAGTTCGCAACTGACTTGCGTGTTCAATATATCTACATAAATTAATTTCTTGAGTTTTATTATATGAGGTACAGAAGCATCTGTAACAGCAGATGAATGAGGGATAATGAGTAACCTCAGATCAGTGCAGTGCAATCCCAGCTGTTCTACCACTTCGTCTGTACAACCAAAAAAATATGTGAATAACTGCAGTTTTTTTAAAAAGTGGATATTACTTGCCATTACAGTAGAGAGATCAGTTTCTGTTTTAGTATCGAGAACAAAAACTTTTAAATTGCTTGTAATTTCCATAGCTTGAATTAATAGCTTCAGTACGAAACTGGACGATAGGTGTGCCGTATTATAGTGCCTGGTGGTAGCAAGTAACACAGATCTAAGCATGCTTCGACACACAGAGTTGTAATTTTCTTCGTCATAAGAAGCAGCAGCCTTGAATTTTTCATCATTCGCGTCAAGCCACGCGATAGAACCGATAATCTGCTGTATAATAGGAATTAGGTCTTCAGTAATCTGTATCGGCAGGGCTGTTAGAATTTTATTAATGTCTTGGCTTTCTTTCGCCACGTTTTGTACCTGCCGCAGATAATCCTCACGGCCAGTTTCCGCTGCCCGAGAGAGTTTTGCAATCCATTCTCGAAATTTGTCATACAGTATATCCATCAGTTTCAGCAGAGTTTTTCTCCTCAGAGCAATGGGCTGCGCCAGTCGAGGCATCGTGATGTTGTGACCTGGAAGAAACATTTTCATGAGGTGTTACATGTGCTTAAAGTACGAAACCGTTTAACGACCCCTTTGCCGTAACGACAGCCGTTAATCGTGACGAGAATAAGCATGTGTTCATGTGCAGGTGATGTGACGTGGGGTTTGAGCATCTTTCGCAGTATCTTTAAAAAATAAATATCGGTTTCACCTCATTATTTTAAAGACGAAGCTTCTGTGGTGAAGTAAAAACTTTATCATAGCAGTTGCAGAAAAATCGCGAATTTTCTTTTTAGTGGGGGAGAGATTACACACAAAAATCGGAAAATTTATTCTGCATTTGATATAGCGTACACTTAAAACCTGGTGAAAATTGTGGTTAAGTCATTCTTCTGCGTTCTGCTTTCTCTTCCTAATGAAATATCTTCAGAAGTCTGAAATATTTATTCAACGGAATTTAATGTTTGCTTCCGATATGTTGTTACCAAGTATTTCTTGCGTTATTCGTCAAGAAGGAAGTCATCTTACTTACAAATAGTATTTGAATTTTAATGTCAGTAACGACTGTTGGTCTAAAGTCGTCTACGCTGTAAACTTTGCATACCGTGTAGTGCATTAGAATATAAAATAAGCAAACTATTAACACTATAAATGACAATAGTACCAAACGCTTTTGGACCTCAAGAGGGCATCATCAGTGGCAACAGGGAATTAATTTATATAATCAAAATGGTTTAAAATATAAATAATGAAGTAGAGTTCTTTGCCACTGATGATGACCTCTTGAGGTCGAAACGCGTTTGGCACTAGTGTCATTTATAGTGTTAATAGTTTGTTTATTTTATATTCGTCTACGCTGCGTTTGTTATCTTACTCTAATATGAAACATCATTCACACGTGCCAATAACTTGTGATAAACCCACAAAACCAGACAGCCTATTTTGTAACTCTCATGCTTTGCATTACAATCCTGATTAATTACAACGGTTCAGCTATTTTAGATACAACGTACTTGACCTTCTTGAGAACACACACGCAGACAGAGAGACACGACTTATGGCAAAGTTTCCCGCAAGGTTCGTACTTACTAGACGTGACATGTCAAAAGGTCTATGGTGAAAGCTATGTTATGCATAAGGGGGCTTAAAGGGTTTAATACAGTTTGCTACATTGTGCCAACGGTTTAAACTAGTTTGCATAGGAAGGTCATGGGAGGAATTTAAAACTTTCTTTGAACCACTCTTTAAACGTATTGTCAAATAGGCCTACGTCAATTCGTGTTATTACTGAAACACCATTATTATTTCATCTGAAATGCGTCTGATAGTTACATATGATTCTTATATAAATGCAATTTCTGTAGTTCTGTGCTTTTAATTACAGTTCTTCCTAATTCAAAAATATCTTACCTGACGAAGGCGTTGTAGATCCGTACTATCTCTCAACTCTTAACTGTGTGACTGACAAGAGCACTAGTTGGTGAAGAGTTAGTCTGGTGCAGAATGGCCACTGAAGCTTCGTCAAAATGATAAATTTCCCTTTTATAACAGCGAATTTCTCTATCATGGGCGCCTTTCCAAACTTCTACTATTTTTGTTGTAAGGCGTAAATACGCACGTTAATTATGTCCAGAAATTGTTTTTGCTCGAAAATAAAATTGTCTTTCTGTCTGAGATAATTCGCTAACTTACTGTGAAATGTAACTTAATTTTAAGATTTTTCATGTTTTTATTTAGATTTTAATATGCAGGCAAATATCATTGTATGCATACTGTGTAAGGTTTGAGGTTTTCGTACTGTTTCAACGTTATTTCATCACGTACTGTGTGTGCGTGTGTGTGGTTTAGGAACGTGCGTCAGTTCACGTAGACAAGCATATTGAAATGAACTGTACAAAAAGTCTTCTTCGAAATCTGTGAAGTGTGTGGTTGAAAAATTAGTTCTGATAGGAGTTGCATAAGAAGGTCCTTTATTCCCTAGCTAAGCTACTAGAAGCTTGTCAAGAAGCGTTCTGTCTCCAGAGATCCGTTTAAGTTGCTGTGTATGTACGTTGCTGAATTTGTTTGCTTTATTCTTTAAATTTGGCTCAGTTATTTTAATGTCATATCAAGCATCAGATGCCGAACATGCGAACTTCGATAGATGGAAATGGTAGTGATTGATCGCTTGTGGAAGGACGGCTGTACTAAGTCAGGTCTGCCATCGAAGCAATTAAGTTACAACAAAGAAATTTTATGCATACTTTGAATAAAGTTTGTTTATTTAAGATGTCAACTCGTTGTTTCTTTTGTGTCGCTTCAAGCCAACACGTGCTAATGTCTAGAAGCGAGAAAGCATACAACAATAAAGGTTAATGTAAATATTTGTATGGGTTTTGGTGCATTTCGATACTTTGTTGTGAAACGCTTATGATGTGGTGTGACCCACCTACATATTTTTCTGAAAGCGCAGAATCTAGATATTCATAAAAGTGATGAGTAAACTAACTGCATGGAATAGTCCTTGACAAGTTAGTCAAGAATTTTATCGTATTGTAAGGAATCTTTCATCTATCATATTGTAATACTGTAGCTGTTGGCGTAGGTATGTGACTTAATGTCGCAAGGTTTTCCTTTATAGCCTGAACTATCACAGTATACCAGTCATACCTTTCTACCGGGAGGTTAAGTTTTAAAATCTCGGCCCTGAGACAGATTGTTTTGACTGACTGACCAATTTCGTGCCTCTCGGTCCCTCCAGACAGACTCCCGGTTAGTGGCATAAGTCAGGTCACGACTGCTTCGCAAATTCCGAGATAGTAGGAAATTTGGCCAAAAGCTCTCCTTCCTCATTCATTCCGATTCATTATTCATTACTCACTCTATACTTGAGAGCTATATATTTTGAGCTACTGACGTCATTAATAAACAAATAATAATAATAATAATATAATTTTCTGTTTTGCATACCTACTCGCCAAACGACTCCCCTGCCATCGAGTCATGGTGGTGTAACCATTTTATCTGCTTTAAAGGAAATGCCGTTTCCTGACTTAAAATACCGAGTGACGGTGGTATACAAATTCAGCTTAATACGGAAGAACTCCTCCTGCAGAAACTGAGGAAGTGGGCGATTTTAATTTTATGTAGGATAAGATTGTTTTTTAATACTTCAATTCCATAGGAGATAGGTAGACTTTAAATCCATAAATGACCCACTCATTGATATTTAAGACTCACAGTTCTACTCCAGTGTCAAATAGGTTTTCAGTAATAATTTTGTTTTGTAGATTGGATTATGACCGTGGGCTGTGTAACCATCTGATAGACCAGGATCTGGAGGCAGCGCTGAAAGTCATTGAGGGAGATGAACAAGTAAATTAAATTAATTTACATAATAATTACTCATGTTACAATGTTATTTCATCAAATGGTCAGTTTTTAAGTTGTCAACAATATAACCTTGTTCAATGATCCATGACTTGTTACACAACATTTCCAGTACATATTTATGTGCAATATATTAACATTGTGAAGTGAAGTGACTTGTGCATGCACATAGTGTTGATGTGAACCCGATGATGACTGTTTGACAATTGAAACATGTCGTTCAGAACTGACAGTCGATGCTAGCAACAGTGATACAGTAGTATATTGATGCGAAAAGCGTTGAAAATATTGTTCTTGAACAAGTAATAAGACTTTAAATAGATTTAATTGTATTTTGTGATGTCATTGATTACCTTGGAACAATATTACAATTTATGTTAACCTGCGTCTATTACAGTTTAATCCATACAGCCTGGCGTACGTGTCGTTTACTCCCAGCGCATCAAATCCTCATCCAGAATTTGCTGATGAGGTTTACTTTCCTCCCCAGACGGAAGAAGATGAAAAAGACCTTGTTATGGGTCCAGGAACAGTGGATGGTATGATTCTGTTTTCACATTATCCGCTTGAACGGTAGTCCTTTTCTGAGATGGAGAGAGTAAGGCAACTTGCACTTGGTAGACAAAATTATAAGATGCAACTTAGAGCTCAGAGCTGAATCTCATAGTTTTGCCCCCACTTGAAAACAATTTCAATTGCAGAAACTGAAAAGAAGTTCCAAAGGTATTCTTATTCATAAATAACTTAATTTTTGTGACCAGAATGTTAACAGTATTCTAGTACATACAGGATTTGAGACTTTCGCGGCAAGTACAACCAATAAAATCTTCTTGGGCAGCAATCAGTCTGTATCTGTAATAAATGGCAGAAGATACCAACTTTAAAGGATGACCCTAGTTTATGGAGTTAGGTAGTTAGTTAACAAGTTTATGGAAAGAAGGCATCATGCTTCGGACCGGCGATACGGAATGCGCGCTGGTTCGAATCTCGGGGGAGAAGAAATTTTCTCATGAGATTTCGACCAGTGTATGGGACCGGTGCCAACCCAGCATCGTGAGGAAATTGGGGAGCTACAATGGGTAGCGTAATCCGGTCAGGAAAACTAGCAATGGCTGGGGGTTCGTCGTGCTGACCACACGTCACCCTGTATCTGGTTGGATGATCGTTCACCTCTGCTTGGACTTGTGGACGTGGGGCCAGCAGTCAAGCTAGTCGGCTTAGGCTCTCTGGAGCTGTTACGCCACGGATTTAATTTAATTAATGTCTCACTGTTGATTAACTTTGTCATCAAAAGATTTATATGAGTAATAAATATTTGTAGAAGATCCTAGTGAACATGCTTGGTAAAAGTGTATACCTAAATGGTGGGCTGTATGCTTTTCTGCATTTGTTAGAATGGTTTCAGAGTTTGAATGCTTTGAGTTTAATATGCATTTTTCCTTCTTTACAGTTGCTGAAGTCAAGGAAGGACACCGTCCAACACAAACTCAACATCGCTTTCCAGAGTCCTTGCTTCTCACAAAAAAATCTTATCCTACCAGTAGTGGCCAAAATAATCAGCCTTCATCACCATTAGGTTCACAGTCCATACTAATGGCATCTCTACTGAAACCATCAGATACTAAGGATGGTGCGTTCAGCCGTCAGTACAATACTCCAGACAGTTTCAGAGAAGGGTTTGAAACTCGGGATGTAGAGGAGACTTCAAATGACCAAATACTGTCTAATGATAAAGAAATCATTAAAGTATTACCAACACAAAGCCAGTTTTCTCACCATTATAACACGCCCGACTCTTTTCGTGAAGGTGTTGAGACAGGAGATGAAGATGCATTTAATCTAACCCCTGACCTGTTTACCAAACAGTACAACACTCCTGATACATTCCGTAAAGGAATTGAATCGCGGGATATTAATATGGTTGAAACAGGAAAACAGACTCTCATGTCACCTGATGTTACTCTTCATGACTCGAATGATGATAATGAAATACCAGGTGATAACTCTGGCATGTTCCTAGGATTCCAGGATAGATGGACCATACCAGAAGATGAAATTTTACCAGAAGAATTCCTTGACCACACAAGAGAAGAGAGTAATTCAAGATTAAGTCCTGAATTGCAGCAGCGAGTAGGTCTGTATTACGATACAGACAGCAGATTTTATAGAGTTCCAGCAGTAGACACCATGTCAATGGATAATGATCAGAAACACAGAGGAGACTCAGAAGGAAGAGCATACACAGAGGGAGGCCTTGTTTATCTGCCAAAACAAAACAGAGGTAAGAAAATCTATGAATCCAAATAAAGCATGAATACACATAATCGCTTGGAAGAAATAAATTAAATTCAATTTCATGTTCTTCTGTGACTAACCTGCCAACTTTTGAAGTTCCATTCCAAATTCAACTTAGCATATGTTTAATTTTCCATGTCTTATTAATTGGATGTGAAACAAAGGCAACTGATGTTTGGCATTGTGTAACAGCCATTCTGCTCTTAAAGTTGTAGCTGAGTCGTTAGCTTCTTATTTTTGAGCTCCCGCATTGAAATTTTGATTGGTTTCTTGTGATCTTACTCAGTCTTTCCCAGCTTCCTGTCATAACCTTTCCAATTCATTAGTCATTGATCATCCTTCCATTAAATGTTAGTCTGAGCTTCTGACAGAATTAAACACAGACAAAATAATAAATAAAATGTTGGGTACTATAGTATTGTGGCTTCAATGCAGCAGACAAGTTGTGCCCTCTTATGAAGTACCATGAGGCAGGACCATATTTATATCACTTGTTACTTTGAATATAAACTGCCTTTAGATAACTTTGAATAATGTTTCAATTTCCTGTTACTCAGATTCTGGTGTACTGCCAAATTTTGGTGTCTTGGAACCTGATGATCTCCAGGATGTGCTTGATGATGGCTTAGATGCTCTGCTGGATGAGTATGATACACTGGATAGAGGATTCAAACGTAGGGAGCGACTGGATGTGAAGAAACCTGGACCTTTCTTCAGCACCAACAATTATGCCTTCCACCACAGTCCAGCATCTGAAGAGCACAACAATAAAGAAGTGAGTGTTTTTTTTCCATCTTTTGAATGGTATTTTCATCCATTTTGGTTAATATTAGGATAGGACAAGAACTAATTAAAAATTGTAATTTTTCGAAATCAGCAAAATGTCCCCTCTTTTTTTCAGACTGGAGGCTTTTCAGGTGATTTGTCTTCTTCCATCGATACAGAAAAGGGTAAGTATTCTACCCTGTACATACCAGGGATATAATGAATAATCTGAAAAATTGTAAAACTGATACTAAGTCTTAAATTGTATTAGTCAATGGTCTTAAACTAGAATATCAATTGAAATTAATTTAAACAGTTATTATGTGAAATGTCTTTTATGAAGGTACTATATTACTTCTTTCTTTGTTTTGAACGTCAGCTATTGCCTTTCTAAAAAGTCTTAAAACTTGAATTTCCCTTATTTTCATTTAAAAGGGAGGGGAAAAAACCTTCTTTTGGATTCCATAGATTGAGCTATTCCCAGTTTGTAGACCCTTAATTCTGGATTCTCAGTTAGGAGGACTTTTATGTGTGAGAGAAAATGCTAGAAATTAGAGGAGCATTCTAAGACTTTTTAAAAACAGACCAGAGATAATGTTCAAAACAAATAAAGTACTAGTTTCAGCAGTTTCTTGGACTCAATGAACTTGGCGCTATTTTTGGGCCTATTTATAAAGAACTCTTGCAGATATTCATTTGATTCTGAGGTTATTTCGTGACATCCCAGCTTAAAGACAACACGTTCATGGGTAGATACGAATTTTGAAGATGGCAACTGTGGTCTGTTTGAAGATACTGCTTGGCATCTGCCTGAAGAGACAAAAGGAATAATGAGATACGTTAATCAGAATAGCCAATAACCCCCAGCTGAGATACAAGCAGCATACCAACCGAATGTAATCCTAGAGAGTTACGTCCAGTTGGTGACATTTTTGACGTTATTAACAAGGGAGGATTTGGGGTCACACATAAAAAAATGACATGATTATGTAACGGTTCATGATTCATTGTGCATTTTCTTGAAGTACAGGCTGATCATTGGAATGAAGAAATTCGTTTGGAACATTGAGATCGTGATTAATAAATTTTGGGGCTTGGTCGATTGTCTGGTATTATAAAGTCCAAGAATTTAGTAATCCCTGTTGTAACACACCATGGTTAGTACCCTTTTAAAATTAATTTTCTTTAAATAAAATATTCTGTAAACATCTACAAAGTCATATAAGCAAGGCAGTATTTAATCCGATTTATAGCCCTGGTCACCATTCAAAAATGTTACGTGTATACAGACTATATTTGTATGAATAAAATATATTTTTATTTTATTTAATCTATTCTGTTCCCACGTTTGTCTTCTCCACGTGTTTGCCCTTGTCTGTAGTTATACGAGTCGTTTACATAAAAAATGAAAAGGTTTCAATTTGTTAGCATGGTTTTCCTAAAAGCACTGATGATAAAGATATGAGAATAAAGCGGAGGTTAGCAAAATAAGTTGAAAGAGATGACGCACATCTACGTGGTACCATGGCTACCACGAAACGACCAGTTTGGTAACAACGCGTTATCTGCAACAGTGTTTTGTTCCTTTTGAAACGTTTGATAAGGGAACTCAACTTTCAGGATTATTAAAAAGGATTGCTTTGTGCGAGACGAGCATTCTGCTTTAGTAGTCATGCAACTGAGACGGTTTGCACGTGCTTGATGGCAGCTTTTGGCCTAGGAACAGCAACAGTATCGTTCAGTTGGAACGGTGATTTTAGCGTGGTTGTAAAAGTAAGGTGTTATAGGATTTGAGATTTTTCGCGGCGAGTACAATCAATAAAATAAGGTGTTGCAAGCTAGGAAATCATTTTATACAACTTTATTAGCAAAAATGCTAAAAGCATTTATTGTTATATGAAGTGGTCGTAAAGATTGCCCGATCTAAATTAAAACTGAAATGGCATGACAATTTTTCGCAAAACTCCCCTGCCCACTGTGCACCGCTGTTGTTTGCTTTGGGGGACATTGGCCTG